CATTAAGTGTGGAAGGGGAGGATAAGGGCAAATGGCAAATATAGCGAGAGCAAGACGGAGAGGTAGTCTTCTTTATTTTTCTCGCTTTTTTTTTTGGTTTTCTTGCATTTTTTTTTCCTTGTTTTTACATTCCTTTTTCTTTGCTTTGGTTTCCATCATCATCTCTCCCCCATTCTCTCTTGCATTGATTTCGTTTTCTCTGCTCCATTGGGTAGGCTTTGCGAAATCGTGATAAGAAGCCGCTCCCATCACACACACACCACACACAACATGTGTAGGATATTTTTGTGCGTGCATGTACGGGTTAAAGGTGTGAAGACACATTCGGCTACATAAGCACAAATATATAGATGTGTGTATATATTACTGCATGAGTGCATCGCCGCATACATCGACAGGCAACACTCCATATAGTGAGAGTGCCACTACTGAACATACATCGACTGGATACGCTTGCGCATCCACCCGCGCACACCTCTCATACGGTTCTCACCCTCCTTCCATTAGTGTTTATGCTACTACTCCTACCCCCAACACGGCTTCAGCAACCCACCTCGTCCCCTTACTTTTGTTGTTTTTTGCCATCCCACATCCCCAGTTTTTTTTTTTGTTATGTTGTGCCCGTTGTTTCTTCTCTCTTTTTTGTTTTATTCCTTTTTGTTTATGGTTTTTTTTTTTGTCTCACGTGTAGTATAAATATATGTTGCGGTACAGCTCACTTCACTACCCTACTGTGTCGGTCTCCTCCGCAATCGTTTGCCTCCTTTTTTTTGTTGTTGCCTTTTCGATCAATTTGTCTTCATCCGTCGCGTGGAACCCACAACACTCAGATGTGTATAACTCATGTAATTAGTGATAAAGGCAGAAATGTATTGGATGAGGCGTATGTATGCATCAGTGCACGCACGCACTACTACACAGAGAGGGAGAGATGGAGAGGCATGCATGCATGTATATATTGGTAGGGCTCTTAACGTGCCTGCCTTGGCCACCATCGCTGCTTCTCCTGCTAGTTCGTTGAAGTTGCCTCGCCTCTTCAATGGGAAGGGGGTTTGTGAAGTAGGGGTGGGTGGGTGGAGAAGGAGAGAGAATGCCTTTGCGTTGCTGCCTTCGTCGACGACCTTTCTCTTTCTCTCTCCCCCCCTCCCCTCCCCCCCTGTTGGCCTTGTCCCTTTCATCCTCAGCTTTCCCCCTCAACACCTCTTTGATTTTGTTTGTATTGTCCTCCGCAACCCCCGCCGTTTGTGTCAGATCCGTGACGCCCCCGCTCCAAGTTAGTTGTTTCATTTCTCCCACACACGCACACACCCCTCCCACCCCTCTCGCCTCTCGCTTCCGTTCTTCGCTTCGCCCCCTTCCTCTTGCCGCACGAATCGCACGCTCTCGTACTGCTGGTGTCCCCGCCTTTTCATTTTTTTTATTTTTTTATTTTTTTTTGTTGCGCTTATCTTTTTTTTTTATTTGTTCAGTTCCTTTGTTCCTGCACCTCTCGTTGCTGCCCACCTCCTCCCTTGTGTGCCTGTCTGCCTGCCCGCGCTCAGCCGCCGAGCGGGCACGGCTCCATCCCCATCATCGCATCACCGTAGAGGCCGTGGATGTCCTGCGGCGGGTTGTCGTCAATGTGATCATACCACTTCTCCCAGAGTAGATGGATTGTGCACTCCAACGTGTTGTCTTCAAGCAGATGCTGCGGAACCACCGTCCCCTTGTCCCTGACTTTGTAGGCGTTGATCAGGTAAAGTGCTTGCAGCGTGAAGGTCATCACCACACGCAGGTGCTTGCCCAGGTCTGGGATATCGCGAAACTTCTCCTGCAAATACTCCAGCCGCTCCTGCCGCGTTATCAGATTGACCTGATAGTCGGAAGGGAAGACGAGCACGTAGTGCAGCAAGAGCCCCCCAATCGCCGAGGGCACCTCCCCAAACGGCAACAAAAAGGAGTAGGAGGCAAACTCGGGCAAACTACAGCTGCTGTTCCCGGCCAGGAACACGGTTGTGGCAATGACCTCCACCAGATCGCGCAGACAGCGGCACATGGCTCGAACCATCACTGTAAACGCGCAGAGGTGTCGGCTGTAGACTGGGGCCCAAATAAACGGCAAATCCTCTGATTCTCGGCGGTACGGCACGGAAATTAGGCAACCAATACGTGAGGCCAGTAGTACACGAGGGTCACAGTTAGCTTCCTGGTTCTCCATTGAAATTTCTTGTTGCGGGTCTGCCGGATCAATGTATCGGCACGGCAGACTACTAATAATTCCAACGCGAAGAACCTCTGTTAACACCACAAACGCATTTTGAAAGGAACGCGGGTTGTGTTTGATGGCGTTCATCAAGTATGTGGGGAAGTACACCGTGGGGTACTCGTTAACGCCTTCCTTGGGCAAGTAATCGGTGGCGTCGTGGTAATTATTGTTGTTACTATCCGAGGCCAATATTGGATCTGTCTCCGTGCTGTTCATCTGCCCCATCGCCGGCATCTCCCCTTCCTCCCCCATCATCCTCTCTCCCTCTTCCATGGTCTCCGGTGATGCCGTAGAGTGGGAAAAATAGCCAAGAAAATCAAACGTCTTAAGAAGCACAGCAAAAAAAGTTTCCCTTTTGCCGTGATAACGCATCAGTGCCTTACGCGGAGAGCAGTTACTGTCTTCGTTTATCGGTCGCGCGGCCTCGGCACTGAAGGTGAGCACGGAGGCAATGCTATACTTCTCAAAGTGTTCCTCGTCAAGCTGACGCACCTCCTCACTACTTGAGACATCCCACTCATCCAGGTTGATAATATCACTTGGCCGTTGCATGGGAGCCAGGATGGGCTCGAACCAGCGAACCCACGAGAGGCACTCTGTGTTTTTAGTGTGTCTCTCCTTTCCAAGTTTCTTGAAGACCTGTGCAATAATCTGACTCCGCATCGTCATTAACACCCCCAGCTTGTCATGGTAGTCCTTTGTGTCGGAGACCGGGCAGTCGTCGCGAATGTACGACTGGGTTATAACCGTCATGATACGCACCGAAAGAAGTCCTGCAAATTGCAAGTAAAAAAGAGACAGGGGAACAAAGTTCCCCAAAACCCCAACAAGATTAGTGGGCATGTCGGCATTTGTCAGTTCGGCCTCAAGGACGCGAATGAGGTACACCAATGGAGAGTCCTTCGATTTTGATGAGAAAACGCCACTGTACCGAAGATAACCTCGCCCCTTGGAGTGCTTGATGAAGAAACCAGCCTTCTTTTTGTTTGTATCCTGCACAAAAGTGTGCGCGTGGATAAAATCTTTAATGGAGCGATACTTGGGCGTCTCACTGGAGAGTTCACTGTACACCTCCTCCATGGTGAGGTTCAGGCCTACGCTAGTGGAGGAGAGCGCAGGATGCGTGGCGGTGATTAAACCAAGATCCATGAGCCTATCCCCGGCGTCTTTTGTAGAGGTTTCCGTGACATGGAATGGAAACAAGGTTCGAAGAACCTTATCACGATCAAAGTGAGACACATTGCTATTGGAAACATCGATTTGCACAATAAGTTTCATGTTATCGTAGGGAAGCAGCAGCACCTCGGGAGGCCCCATTAGTAAATCCACAAGACCTTCCTTGTGGAAGGCGACCATCTGGGCCCAGTTCAGAAACGGGGCTGTGACGGCCATCACATTTAACTCTTGCTTGAGGTGGCGGGAGACGGCCATCTGAACATCCTCGCCCAATGGCTGATCAAACGCGGTTTGGATGTCTGCCTCATCGGGGATCTCACCCTCCTCGAGCCTACTCCATACAATATCGCGGGCGCGCAGCTCCCTTTCTGAGGTCAAAAAAGTTTCTACATCACCACTCACGCTGAGTCCATTGAAGACCCAAATGGGCTCCAAATTTAAACTTCGCATCCACTCCACGTGACGAGACACGGCGTCAAGCAATTCCTCTGGAAGAGTGGAGTGCAAAAACCATAACGGATCTCGCTTTCGTAGCTCGTCACGAAGACTGTTCAGGCAAAAGTTTCCATCGACAGCAATTTTTAATGGAGGATCTTTTTTCGGATTGTATCCGCTCGGAAAGAAGCTGGAAAGACTTTCAATGGAAACCAAATCGTGTTCACAAAGAAAATCGTAAAAGTTTTCTGCTGGGCCACCCAAACTAAACCGCTCTACAGTGGAGGGGTCAACCGGGTTCATGGGTGTGGGCAGCATTGGCGGTTGAGCTGGTGGCACATTTGCCCCTGGCATGTAGTTTGTGGGCGGCACCATGCCGGGAGGGACCAAGGCAGGCTGCTGGTTAAACCGACCTTGTGGAATACCGCCACCTATCATACTAGGTTCCGGTGTTGCTACGCGGGGGTTTCGAGCAGCATTAGGCATTGGCATTGGAGTATTCATAATACCCTTGCTACGAGGATCAGGGTAAGCACCAGGGGCAGCCGCAACTCCTCCAGGAGATCGAGCAACAGGCATGGGGCTAGCTCCACTATACGGAGGCCCAGGCGGTAGTGGCGGAGGTGCACCTACATTGGGACCATATCCCACCTGCGGTGGTGGGCTGAGAATGTTGTCCTGATACCCATCATGGCGCATCATTGGTCCACCGTACATACCACCTTGCTGCATTGGATCCATTGGGGGATGGCCACCTCGGCCGTAATTCATGGGAGGCAATGGAGCACCCTGACCTGGGAGACCGCCGTATGCGCCCGGAAGCGGCCCAGGAGGAGGAACAGCAGCATGCATTGGTGAATTACGCATGTAAGGCATACCTGTTCCAACACCCATGTGTGATGGAGACGGAGAGGGAGGAGGGTATTGTCCCGGGTGCATATCTTGATAAACACCTCCCATGTCACCGTAGCCGCCACCACCACCTCCACCGGCTCCAGGGCCCATATGGCCATAACCTTGGTTATACATTGGCATTTGTTGCTGATGCTGATGCTGATGCTGTGGAGTATTCCATCCGTTACCGCCAGCAGGAGCAGCATCACCAGGGCCAAATCCATACGGAGGCATCGGCTGCATCCCATGGGGTGGAGGTCGTGAACCGTCGTAGACGTTGTTATAACTGCTATTGTGATGATGATGGAAGTGGTGCTGCTGGTGCTGTTGCTGGTACCCCATCGAGGGAGGTGGGGGCGCCATGGGCAATCCCTGCTGACCCTGTCCGCGCCCCTGCCGCTCATTACCCCTGTTGCCACCCGCCTTTCTCATTCCTTAGGTCAGTGTGCCCTATTTGATCAGAGAAACAAAAACACAAGTAGCACACAAAAAAATTTTACGGACACCTTTTGCCACACACATACACATAAAGAGAAAGAGAAGGAGAAATGGGAGAGGAAGATGTGAGGAAGCTAAAATACGCACAGGTGTACACACACACATAGAGAGAAACCCAATAAAAAAGTCAAAACAAAACAAATAAAAACAAAAACAAAAACAAATAAAAATAAAAAAAAAACAAAATAAAAAACAAAAACAAAAAACAAAATAAAAAAA